GTTGGTGGTGGGGTTTAGGTGATCTCACGAGTAGGGAGAAAGGAAGGACAAGAGAAAGGGAATTTTAGGGATTTGAGAGAAATTGGGGAAAAAGATGATTTAATTTGGGGATTTTGGGTAAAGTGGAAATTTATGGTTTAGATGGGATTAAAATTGAATAGGTTTCAAGGAAGATAATTAGCTCAAATGGGTTAAAGTTTGGGTTGACAAAGAATAGGTTCGAGTTCAAAACTCAAAGGTTACAATTAAACATTAGGCTTTAGCTTTAAGCTACACAAGGAAAGGTTTTTGGTATGAATTTTGCTATTTCCAATTTCAAAGAACACTTGGAAAAATTTAGGGAGCTCACAAGGAATTGTTGTAAGAATAACCAAGTATAAGGATTGTAGAATTGACCCAAATCACAAAACATTCCAAAGATGGATAACTAACTTCACAACGAAGCTTATATACCAAACTAAAGAAATTACTTAGCAAGAAGAGTTTACACAAAGCTCCAAAAGAATTACTACCAAAGAAAAGCATGCCAAGGATTGACAAGCAACTCAATTAGACGATTACGAAACACAAGGTAGCACACAAAACAACAAAGAACACGATGTTCGCGGAAAACAAGGGTAGGCTTAGGAAAAGGGCAACCTGCCAACTCTTCCTCCAACAAGCCCTCCGACTCCGCCTGTGAACGCGCCATCACAAAGACCCTCCCAGGTGGCCTAGCTCCAACTGCTCCACGACCCGAACTAACTCCCAATGCTCCTCCGGCTCCCGGGGGTGGTGGCAACGCTCTCTGACTGGCTAGCTGGGGACACTCCGCGACTTTGTGACCTCGATCCCCACATCGGAAACACCGCAACACGAAGCCGCTGCAGTTCTGGCCAGCATGCACCTTTCCACATCTTTGGCACAGAAGCAACCTAGCTTGATTCCCCTGTTCCATCTTGTTAGGTCCTTGAGATGGAGATGACACGTTCTTGGCCTGGAAACTCGATCTTGGCTTCATAAAGGTAGAAGAACCTCCGCCTTCAGTCCTCTTCCTAGCTTGCTCGTACGATCCTCTCTGAAGCTGTTGTACGCGATACAGATCAGCGGCACACACATAAGCGTCCATAAGAGAACTTGGCCTACTCACAGTCAAAGCTTTTCGCGCCTCATAGTTCAAACCGGCCACGAATTTCTCGACTTTAGCGAGTTCTGTAGGCACAAGCATCCTCGCAAAACGTGCCAACTCCAAGAATCTCTTGTGGTACTCAACCACAGACATGGACCCTTGCTGCAGGTGGAGAAACTCTTCATACATGGCGGCGCGCACATGTGCTGGGTAGAACCTCTCGCGCATTCTGTCCTTGAGCGCGGTCTAGTCGAACTCGGGTTCTTCAAGAAGAGACGGACCTTCATGGACCCACCACAAATCCACTTCATGGCAAAAGTAAAATGTTGCCAACTCCACTCTCCTCTCTTCGGGGCAACCCACAACGGTGAAGATCTTGTCAAACACCCGTAGCCACTCTTCCAAGACTAACGGGTCTTCCTCGCCGGCGAAGGTTGGCGGCCGATGTCCCGACACCAAACGACCTACATCACGGTGCCCAGCAAGGGGAGGAGGTGGCACAGCGTGATTGTTGTTCAACAAAGCTTCATTGAGCGTCTGCATGGTCTGTGTCAACTGGTGGAGATTCTGAGCGAGCTGCTCGTTGGTTTGGGTCTCCGGGGAGCGTGCTCGAGGACGAGGAGGCATCGCAACTTCTACAACAACAACACGGTTACCAAAAGATAGCAAACAAGCAAAGGATAGAAAGCAACACACAGCTCACCGCGCAACCTAGAGTCCTAAGCCTAACACTTAGCTTCTTAAGGTCGCTTAGAAGTCTCAAACCACACCTAACCACTTAGAAAGTCTAGACTTAACTCTTCCTAGGTTCAAAGCTAGGCTCTGATACCAATTGTAACACCCCCCAAAACATGCTATATAAAAAGCCTTAACACATGCAGATATCACAACAAAACACTAGCACAGCGGAAGATAAATGGTAACTGGATAAACGAAAATCCAAAACATGGGGTATCACGCCACGTTTACCAACAACGATAAACGCTATGGCAAAGTCTGCATGGTTCACAACTATCCCAAAACCTCATGAGTCTATCACTACATCGGTTCACAGGCCGTAAAGCAAAGGAAAGGTACTATACTATCGGGCACTAGACTCCGCTCTCATCTAGACATCACCTGTAAGAACAAAAATAAACATGGGACGACGCCCGGTCAGCGAATAATGCTGGTAACCCACCAAAACATGTTAAGTATCATACATAGATAGGATATATATATATATATATATATATATATATATATATATATATATATATATATATATATATATATATATATATATATATATCATTTCGAAACGGGATACATATATAACAATGTAAAACCAAGAGTAAACACCAACTCAAGACTCATCACTCTCAAAGATAACACGGGAACACATCCCAAGACCACCAAAAGACAACAACAACTCAAGGATAAAGACACGACAAATGGCAACACATGCCTAGGCACACATGCCTTTGTGACTACACACGTCACAAGAAGAGAACACACAACCACGGCTACACAAGCCCTCGTGACATCACACGTCACGGGTTGAGATGTCTTCCTTATGCCCTGTTCCAACCTTATGGCTACCCCCAACCTTATATCTAGTTCCAACCTTTACCTCCAGGACCCCTGTACACCAAGTCCAACCTTTTCCCTCCGAGGACCGTCGTCCCCTCTCCAACAGATCTCCAACAGAACCACCGATTTCATAGTACACGAGGGTACCGATCACACACACGGTAACACATGCCTCTCCCAAAACACGTGAACCTTACACAAAGGTCACAACTCCATAATCGCATCACGGCCACCACGAGGACCGCTGCCTTACCTTGGTGATTAAGGCCCCATAAACCGAAATCGTGCAATCAAGGTACAGCCACACACGCATCATACCTCAACAGGAATCAATCAACGGATCACAACGAAGATATGAAACATACTCAATCAAGGAGTGGGTCACAGCCTAACAATAACAACGATGAATAACACAAGTCATCATCAACCCAACGGAAGGTACAAACAACACACACACTAGCATTTAGACACCGAACTAGCATACTTATCAAACGGATAAACCAAAGGTAGTTCCGAGGAACACACAAGACACATCACGGTTAAACGAAACACAATGTTAAACACTTAGCACGATTAAAGACACCAAAGTCCTACATGGATACCTACCATATAGTTCTAGACATACGAGACATCAAGAAGACACACAAATAGTTCCAAAAAAGAACATCGGAAAGTCAAAAGACCAAATACCGAGTCAAAAGAATCACGGGGAACAAATCCCCAAACATCACCACACACGTACCCGCGGGTAGGCCCACGGGTAGGCCTCTACCCGCGTTTCCACCCGCGGGTACAGGCTCCCCATCCTGTGTACCCCGCGGGTGGGTGGCGGGTTAGACCTCTACCCGCCGTTCCGCCCGCGGGTACACCCTGTACCACAAATCAACACTTCACGGATTTTCTTCTCCAAACTCAAATTCAAGTCCAAAACATGCCAAATCTCACCAAATACAACAAAATGACTTGAATCATAGGAAATGCCAAGCAATGGCACAAAAGAACCCTAAACACAAGCTCTAGATATGCATTTTCACAAAACAAATGCATAAACACTCACATTTCATAGCAAAACACAAGTAGAATTCAAGAAATCACATATAGGTAAGCAAAATAGGTTTTGTAGAGCATGGGTTACCTCTTGTAGACTAAAAGACTTCACTTTACACCTCAACAAGCTCATCACAAGGCTCACTTTCCAAACCTACTTCAAGAACAAACCAAAAGATCATAAAGATCCTACCTTTAAGAAAAAGACACCTAAGATGGAACCAAAAACACAAGATAGACTTAGATCTTACCCTCCTAGATGCCCAAATAGGTGAAAGGTTGAATCTTGGAAGCAACTCTTGATGTCATGGCAAGGTCTCAACTTAGCTTGGAGGAAAAGCTACTCACCTTTCTAGAGAGAAGGTAGAGCTAAATTTTAGAAAGTGTAAGGGGTAGAATGAAGATGTCTACTAGGTTAGGTTACAATACTAACACTCGGTGAAAGGTCAAGAATGCCCTTACTAACATTAGAAAGTGTAAGGAACAAGGGAACTCCCTTCAAAGCTCAAGGTACAACTTGACTTTGGAGTTCACTAGTCAAATACTAGTCCCCAACTATTAAATTTTAGGAATTTAAGGAATTAAATTACAAATTGAAATAGGATTAATTACTCAATTAATCCCTTAATTGGATTTGGATTTCGGGGTGTCACAAGTGCTGTCCCAATCCACAGGCATTGATGATTTTACAAGTGGTGCTTTGACTGTAACTACAGTAAAGGAGCTATTGAAAAAGAAACAGGTTAGTCCCTATTTGTAAAAAAATTTTATAATGCAACAAATGTACTATATATAGATTTAATAACATAGATTACATAAAAAAGAGTAACAAAGGAATCTATATACAATTGCAGAATGGTGAATTCTATGTACCTGCTGAAATTGTTGCAATTGAAGGTTCTTTTGGATGGATGGACATATCTTGCATTTCCCCAGGATGTAACAGAAAACTTTTTCAAGAATCAGCTGATCTCATTTGTACAAATTGTGATAAGAAATACAAACAAGGAATGGCAAGGTGTCGTGTTAGAGTGATTGTCCTAGATAAAGGTCTAGGAGACGCTCCTTTCCTATTATGGGATAGGAAGTGTTCTGAATTGGTTGGTATCCCAGCACACAGTTTGTACACAAAGTATAATAAGGTAAAGATACGTCTCTTACAAATTTAACACATCCATATAGACTTTTTTTGAGTTTTTTTTTATAAGTATTCTATTTTTTTATGTTAGGTTTCTGACATCCCAAAAGAGTTGGAATCATTAGTCGGAATGAGATGGTATTCAAGATATCATTAAAATTGGAGTACATGAAGGGATCTAACTCAGCATACACTGTTATGAGAGTTCTAAGGGATGAAGCCTTAGTGTCAGCATACTATTCTAAACTCATTGAAGACCAAGACAAGGACTTGATATCAAGAATGATAGATAAGGACGAGGAGGAAGAGGAGGAGTCAGATCAGGTTTTTTTCTTGTATTTTACTAAAGTCAAATAACTAATCTCATTTCTTAACTTATGTTTGACATATTTTACACTTAATGTTATTTGAATATACAGGAAGCTTCAAATGGAAACAATGAGGTCAACAGCCCATTACCTATGCAACAGTCTAAAAGCCTAGACCATGAAAATTTAGAGGCTGATGGTGTGAAGCGATCTCTTATGGACCAATTCTCCTCCTCTTGCAAGAAGGGCAAAACAGTTGCTGTTAAACAAGAGAAGATTTAAGAAAAACTGGAAATGACAGACTATTACCACATTTTAGTGGTTTTTCCTATTTTCAAATTGGACATTTGGCCTGTTTAATTGGACTTTGTGTGTCCTGAACAATTTCATTTCATTTTAATCTATGTTTAGACTGTTTGCCTCTGTTATTTACCTAGGATTATTGCTAAACACTCCCAATTATCTGTTTATTACCCTATACTATTATATATATATTAAACTGTATGCAGGACAAGAAAAAAGCAAACACAAGGAAGCAACAAGAAGTAATAAAAAGCAAGGAAGAAAACACAAGTCACCAAGGATGAAAACACAAGTCACCAAACAGTCATGTAATTTAATTAGGACTCTATGTACTGTAATTAGGACTCTATGTAATGTAATTAGGACTCTATGTAATTACAGTGCTAAAACTACAGATTTATCTTTCAATACAATTCTGCTATTTTCCTACTGACATTGACAATCAGTTATAACAAAGTATTGTGTAAGCACTGTTAGTATATCATTGGTGTGTTTTAGGCATCAAATAAGTATAAACAAACACTCTCCATTTTTGTAGTATTCTGAATCTTTAAATAAAGATTGTTGATACAATTCCAACATAAAACACAATTAGTAATAAAGGAATTTGGTCTGTTTTAAAACACAATTGTAAAACACTTAAAAAATGTGGTAAAAGACTTAGGACATTTTGTTAACACAGTAACACCTCACATATATAATAAAACACTTAAAAAATCAGGATCACAATTAAGCTGCTATGAATTAAATTTCTCCTAAAAAGCATCATTTTACTTAGTCATTTTCAAAATGTACTAATTTTAACTGTGTGCGCAATTTTGATGCTTGAAGTTCCACATATATAGGGTAACTTCAAATGACTGTGGATTCAAAATTCATAGCCAGTGAAATTTTAAAAATATAGTAACCAAAAACAAATGATTTTTTAATTTTCAGAGATAAAATTTAAAACTAATGTGGTAAGTATAATTTAATTTACATTATTGTAACTACATTTAAAAATGTACTATGTTTAATCTACAAATTAGATGGGAGTTAAAGAAAAAAAAATATTCATATAATAGGGTAACTTCAATTTACTGTGGATTGAAAATTCATAAACAGGGATATTTTAAAAATGTAGTAACACAGGAATTGCTTACATTACAAAATGAAACTGCTGCTGTAAAAGTACATAATTACATATAATGCCTATTTATAATGAAATTACAGAGTGTAGGACTAAAATTGTTGGCAATACACTACATATGTAATTGAATATTGAATAAATTACTGTACTACAAACTTAGAACACAAAAGCTAATTGGATGACAAACAACTTCTAATATTTCGAATCAGAATCACCAATCATGTTCAGGTAATTCTCCTCAACCAATTAAACAAATTTGTAAACTAATGTAATGACAAATGTAGCTTCATCAATTGTGAATACATAAAAAAAAAAAAAAATTCTGTCAGAATATAGAATAAACAAATAACAATTAAAATAGACTTAGTCCTAAAAAAAATAGCAATGGATGAAACAAATAGCCATTTAAATATTGTCCTCTTTAATCCACTAAGTTGTTACAACATTGACAGAGAATAAACGAAATGGCTATTTGTTAAACAAATAGCCATGTAAAGTTTATCATCTTTAATCCACTAAGTTGTAATTGAAATGTAGTGGCATCAGAAGTGTAAATTCATCATTTGCCACACACTTAAAAAATGTGTTAGTCACAATTTATATGGAAAAGTAAACACAAATTTAAAGCCAGGGGAACATGTATATTAAATTACATAAAAACTACGTTCCTTTGTTGGTTTCCAATAAAAAATGAAGAGTCATATCATTGCTTTTAATCATTCTTATTAAAGTGCAATCTTAAAGGCAATAAAGCATATAACACCATAACCTATTTGAATCCAATTATTTGTATTGGAAATCAAATAGCAACAACAAATTGGAACATACACAATATCAGCTCAAACATGAGGAAAATAGTGAAGTCTACAATAATTGGAAGCAAAAGGAAGCACATGATCGACAATAAAGGTAACATAAACACATGTTCAAACTATAGTTTATACTTTACCTGCATGTCTCAGTTAATTGCACAATATGCTATTTTTTACCTAATATTAGAGATTCAAGAATGCTTAGCTTCCAACCTTTGTAGTTTAGATATACATCGAAGACCTGCAAATCTGCCATTCCAGCAGCACAGATTTGGTTAGTATATAATCTGAAACACATACTTGGTAGCAAATAATGTATTGTCGTCACTATAATCACAAAGAAACAAAAATATTTTAAATCTAAAATGTGTTGTATATACTAACATTACAATTTACAGAAGAAATTCAAGTTCTAAATCACTTATTTTTCATTGAATTGCGAGAAACTAAACTGTAATTTCCATCTATCGCCATGAACACCGTACGGTGATTACAATCTTCTATATCTACAATTAACAAACAAAATAAGCTTTAATCTATAATCAAATACGAAATAAATTAGGGTGTTAACAAACTGAACTTAGATCGGATGTAGTGGAATAGGGTATGCCATGAAGATCTAGATCATCGAGTCACCGTTCGAACCTTCAAAAAACCCCCATCCGACTATAAAAACGCAGATCGGAGAATACTACCATAGATCCTCTCACAACAACGCTGCCGATCTGTAAATAGTGTTTCATAAGTGATGGCTAATATACTGTTAGGTGAGATGAACACCTTGCAGTCATTTTGAGATCTTCTACGAATTAAAGAAGATCTCAACACTCGAATGGCATATTGTTGGCTTGGACTATTGGAATGGGGGTGGTTTTGTCTGAAGATTGTGAGAGATGAGGGTAGGTAGTGTTCTCTCGATGCTAGCTGTAAGAAGGTTGCGGAGATGAGGGTTCAAGAAATGCCACACTCGTGTAGAATACCCCGATTTGGAAGTGAAGGTATGCAAACATATAGTGGGCCGGGTTTGGGCTTTTAATTTTAATTTGTTAAAATAAGCTTGGTCTGATCTTTTGTGGTAGAATGGGCTTTTATTTTTTGGATAGAAATGGGCTTGGTCTGAAATAGGTAGAAGTGAAGCTATGCAAACATTATTTATGATATTTAGTTTGTGGATAGTGGTCCACAATATTGTGTGAACAATTGGTCCATGATGGTCCCTTTTAAATATATGCACAGTATATTCAAATTTTTGTTATAACTGTACTTAAGTTATATTATTTTCATAGTTTATATAATGTCGTATATTATCTTTTATAATTATACTTAAGGATATCATTATTTTGGGACTTTATACCTGTACTTAAGTTATATTATCTTTTATAATATATACTTAAGTATGTCCCTTGAATCTTTTCAATGCAGAAAATGATGAGAATTCTCCTGTTATAAGCACTCACAACAGTATTTTGCAAAAAACTGTCACAAATTTAGCCACAGAATTAACACCACAACAACCGGGTACATCAAGTGCAACACCAAGAAGTGGTCTAACAACAGGTAAACGCTTTACACTTCTTGGATTTATATATATGTATATCCTTCGGTATAATACACTATATAGAAATGTTGTTGAACCTCCGAATTAATTTGTTGCAGTTAATCCAGATAATTTTAATATATGTATGAGTACGTGTCACATGAAATATACAAAAGCTAATAGCAACTCCAGACATTTTGTATTAGGTGGAAAATCTCCCTATTTATCAAGTACAACAACCTCTAGATTGACCGGTTAGTTAATCTTATGCATATACATAATATTATTGTTTTCGTATCAAAACTCTAATATCATCATTGACAAATCGAAATAAATGTAATTTGTGGTAAAAGGTACAGTAACTATGTCGAAGATCAGACGGTCACCTCTATAGGATATATCAAACGGTATGTATTTTCCCGTTTGTTTTAACTTTGATTAGGTGTTTATTTTTATGTGACGGGACTTTTACTTCTACTTTAAATAAATTAGGTACAAGACAATGCAACAAGAGGCCATTCATGAATGATGGTAAAGACCATAGTCAAGATAATGAGGTCAATCGCGATTTGTTTCAAGATTTTGAAGAAGTCTGCAATACTAATCGCATAACTCCGGTGCAAGAGGTATATAGTTGTGGTAAGTTCAATATCCACTAACATGTGTAAAAATGTGCTTTACAATCTTCAGAGGCAATTATATGTAGTTAGTTGTTTAAATAAAAATTTTTATTGTATCGTAGGATTGGTTGAAATGTCGCAACAACCTATACAACAGATTCCTAATGGTAATTCCTTTTTTATTTGAGAGCTTGTGTCAATTAAAAATTTATTCAGTTGTACATTATTATTTAACTAACTAATGTATCCATGTAGTTGAATACAAAGATCTTGGGGATGCAAATAACACATGTCAACATTGTGGAGCGCTATTTTGGTACGAAGAGCGGATCAACAAAACAGTTGTTTACGACACCCCAAAATATTCAATGTGTTGCAACAGTGGTAAGATCAAATTGCCACCAACCATGAGGCCACCGAATGCAATTTACAATTTGTTTTTTGGAGAAGGAGAAAAACACAAGCAATTCCTACAAAATATTAGAACAAATACAATAGTATGTTTTGCTTCACGTCCATGGGTGGTAAAATAGATCGAAGCGTGAACAAGAACGGTGGTCCACCTGTTTTCCGGATCAATGGCCAGAACTTCCATTACATTGGTAGTCTCCTGCCGTGCCGGTAGACGGGAAAAAACCCCATTTTGCACAGTTGTATATATATGATACTAATACTAATAATGAACTTAGTAATCGTATCAATTCTGTGAGGTACGTACCTGTTATTTAGTTCTGAATATAAATTTAACAATATTTGTATCCAAATCCATTTTCATTTTCATCTAATGTTTTTGTCGTATGCTAGGCAAGATGGTGACCAAAACGGCATCCATGTGGAGATTGTGAATGATATTCAACAAGTTTTGGATACGAGTAATGTCTTAGTCAAATCATTCCGCATGGCACGATCTGAGCTGCAAAAGAATCCGCTGGCTAAGGTAAAAATTAAATTGCTTGGGAAGAGATCAAAGGATGCATGAATTAGTGAGTTAAATCCAGCATACCTCCCAATTTGCCGCAGGTTTCAGAAGTCGCAGCCTTAATCGTGGGTGACATTAATACAAATATTGGAGGACGTGACATTATGGTTGAAACCAAGAGCAGCCTGTTGCAATGAATTAGTGAGTTAAATCCAGCATACCTCCCAATGCAATACCCTTTACTCTTTCCGTATGGTGAGGACGGATACAGGGAAGACATCCCCTTCTCTACATTAAAAGGAAACACAATTGCTGGCCGTCAAAGGATAAGTCCTCGAGAATATTTTGCATACCGTATACAGTCAAGGGTATCTGAGGTATCTACTTTATTGCATTCAAAAAGGTTATTCCAACAATTTTTGGTAGATGCCTATACAATGGTTGAGTCAGGAAGGTTAATCTATATAAGAACACACCAAAAAAATTTGAGGTGTGAATCATATAATTGCTTGAATGATGCATTAACACGCGGTGAAGTTGACCCCACTACTCAAGGAAAGAGAATAATATTGCCTTCAAGTTTTACAGGGGGTGCTAGATACATGATTCAAAATTATCAGGACGCTATGGCTATATGTAGATTGGTTGGATATCCAGATCTGTTTATCACATTCACTTGCAACCCCAAGTGGCCCGAGGTACAACGCTTCTTGAAAGATCGAAAGTTAAAAGCTGAAGATCGTCCTGACATAATATGTAGATTATTCAAAATGAAATTGGATGCTCTAATCTCAGATTGTCGGAAGAACAAGTTATTTGGGCCAGTGATGGGAGGTATGTAAATTAAATGCCACTATTTAAAACAGTTCCTGTAGATAAATGTTAGATGTTTTTTGCCATTCCTAATGTTTTTTTTTTTATGTTAACAGTTATATATACCATAGAGTTCCAAAAAAGAGGTTTACCGCATGCTCATATTCTGCTGTTTCTTGATAAAGTCAATGGATATCATAATGTTGACAATTTGGACAAAATTATTTCAGCTGAGCTGCCTGATCAAGAAACTGACGTAGAATACTTCAAAGCAGTTGAGGAGTTTATGATGCATGGACCTTGCGGGAAAGCCAGGTTGAGTTCTCCATGTATGGCAAATGGTAAATGTACTAAACATTTTCCCAAAAAGTTTGTTAATTGCTCAACTTTGGATGAGGATGGTTATCCTATATATTGGAGAAGAGACAATGGTCGGTCTGTGACGCGCAATGGGATTGACTTGGATAATAGGTACGTGGTACCACACAATAGGCATTTGTTGTTAAAGTATAGGGCTCATATTAATGTTGAATGGTGTAATCAGTCCCGTTCAATCAAATACCTATTCAAGTACGTGAACAAGGGTCATGATAGGGTAACAGCAGAGTTTTACAGAACTAGCAATGATCAAGATGGCGCACAAGTTCTGGATGAAATTAGTATGTACTATGATTGTAGGTACATATCTCCGTGTGAAGCATCGTGGCGGTTGTTCGGTTTTGATATACAGTTTAGGACACCATCAGTGGAACGATTAAGCTTTCACTTGCCGAATCAACAAAGTGTTATTTTCGCAGATGATGACCCGGTTGATAACATACTCAGTCGGCCAACAATCTTGCAAAGCATGTTCCTAGAATGGTTCGAGGCAAATAAAAACTTCCCAGAAGCAAGGAATTTGACATATGCTGAAATGCCAACAAAATTTGTGTGGAAGAAAGATATTAGAAAATGGCAGCCAAGAAAAAGAGGATTCTCTATCGGTAGAGTTTTCTATGTGCCTCTTGGATCAGGGGAAATCTTTTATTTAAGGTGTCTGTTGAATAAGGTCAAAGGTCCGACAAGTTATTTAGATATAAAAATAGTGGATGGTGTCCAATATGATTCTTTTAGGGATGCGTGTTGTGCCAGAGGATTAGTAGATGATGACAGGGAGTATGTTTATGCTATAGAAGAAGCAAGTTACTGGGCCACAGCTGTGAATCTGAGAAGATTATTTGTCACTCTCTTGATGACTAACTCAATAGCAAAACCAGAGGTGGTTTGGGAGGCTGCGTGGATTCATTTGTCAGATGATGCACAATTCAAGATTAGAGAACAATTGGGAAAGCCAGGTATTATATTATTCCATTCTTACTCTTATAGTTCTATTTTACAACAAAATTTTTTCATTGGTGTAAATAATATTGTCACAGATTGGATTATATCTGAAGATGAGAAGAAGAATTTTTCACTTACGGAGATTGAAATAATGCTTTCAGCTATGGGAAAAAGTTTGAAAGACTTTCAGGGGATGCCGATAGCCGATGTAGTTAATCAGTGCAGAACAACCAATCGGTTGATACAGGAGGAATTGGCATATGATACTACTGCAATGAAGGAAGAGAATGATGCTTTGGTGGATAAACTAACTGAAGAGCAACGAACAATATATGACAATGTTTTGCAAGATGCTGAGAATAATCTTGGAGGACTATATTTTGTTTATGGATATGGTGGAACGGGGAAAACATTCTTGTGGAGAGCATTATCTTCTGCTATAAGGTCACAGGGTGAGATAGAACTAAATGTTGCATCAAGTGGCATAGCTTCCCTTCTATTACCAGGTGGAAGGACTGCACATTCAAGGTTCGCCATTCCGATCGCTGTTAATGAAGATTCAACCTGCAATATCAGCCAAAACAGTCATTTGGCACACTTGATCATGCAAAGTAGGTTGATCATTTGGGATGAGGCACCAATGATGCATAAATTCTATTTTGAAGCGTTGGACCGATCTATGAGAGATATAATGCGTGTCAAAAATCATAACAGCTTCGATATGACTTTTGGTGGAAAAACAGTGGTGTTAGGTGGAGATTCAGACAGATTCTACCAGTCATTCCAAAGGGCACCAGGCAAGATATTGTGCGAGCAAGTATAAATTCATCCTATCTTTGGAGAAGCTGTAAAGTATTTAGGTTAACAAAAAATCTAAGGCTTAGATCTTTGAGATCTAATAGTGAAGTTCAAGAGAATGCTGATTTTGCAAAGTGGATTGCTAATATAGGTGATGGAACCATTGGTGATTCAATGGATGGAGAATCTGAGATACAGATTCCGGGACAATTTTTGCTTAGTTGTGGAGAGGATCCTATTGCTACAATTGTTGATAGCACTTTTCCTATGTTTCGCAGTGGCCACAGAGATAATGAATACCTAAAAGATCGTGCCATACTGGCACCTACTTTGGATGTTGTAGATACAGTCAACGAATACATGAATGACTATAACAATGCTGAATGAAGGACTTATATCAGTTGTGACTCCGTATGCAAATCTGATTCTAATGTTGACATGCTGGCTGACCTGCACACACCGGAGGTTTTAAATGGATTACGATGTTTGGGAGTTCCAAATCACTCATTGACTCTAAAAGTTGGGTCGCCAGTTATGCTGTTAAGAAATATTGATCACTCATTGGGGTTGTGCAATGATACAAGGATGATTATTTCAAAGTTGGCAGATCATGTTTTAGAAGCTAAAATACTGTCCGAATCAAGTGCTGGTACAAAGGTCTTAATTCCAAGGATGTCCTTAACACCGTCGGATCCAAGATTGCCTTTTAAATTTCAAAGGAAGCAATTTCCTCTAATGTTGTCATCTGCCATGACAATAAATAAAAGCCAGGGCCAAACACTATCCAATGTGGGTTTGTTTTTGAAGAGGCCGGTTTTTAATCATGGTCAAATGTACGTAGCATTTTCAAGAGTTAGCAATCCTAACGGATTAAAAATACTAATCTCAGACGAAAATGTACAATCAAAAAATACGACTACAAATGTCGTATATAAAGAAGTATTTAATAATGTTTAATACATACTATATGTTTTGCAGCAGTATATTTTTTTTTTGTGGAATTAATTTATATTATATGTTTTACATATATTGCCGTGCAACGCACGGGTGAAATTACTAATTATATATAATTCACTAATAAACTCACTAACACAATTTGCTATCGTTAATCACAAAGTCATTTCACTAATGGCTAATCGTTAATTGGCAATTGCCAAACCATCCCAATAATAATTGTGGGGAAAAGAATTTATTTAAGAATTGTTCTTCAATAATTTGAGTGGAGATCCGCAACGGGTGATGGACATCAAACAGCGCAGAACGCAATATTTTGTCGCGAATATATTACGTGAACCGACAGAACATGCTTTTGTCCCATGAACGTGCTACTAGTGGAGTTAATAGCCACGTGCAAGTACCCACAGCTTTTTGTGAATTGTGGGAAAGAATTGACCCTTTTTTTTTTTTAATTTTTAAATATCTAGTCTGATCAATAATTTTATAGTCTAGTGACACGAAATAACTCTCCAAAATAATAAGTTATAGATTCGATCTCTAGTTGGAATAGTATTGACAATCTCAGTAGGTTAAGAAACTAATTATAAACAAATATTACATTGTATGAGAATCAATAAAAATAAAAAATAAATAATATATGTACTCCCAAATTATACTCCTACACTTAAAATTTTAATGTACACACTTCTATAGGGATCCACATGAAGAAATTAACTTATCAGAATCCACCACATCAGAAAGTAAATTTAAGAAAGTAAGATTTGAGAATACATGCTAACTCATAAAAAAAAAAAAAAAAAAAAAAAAAAAAAGTTCTACTACATGCACTCCCAAGTTATACTCCCTCACTTGTACTCCATGACATGGCAAATAGAGATTGATTATTTTTATCATGTAGGTCCCAGGGAATATGTCTACATCAAGAATTTGTGAGAAGGAGTAACGGGGCGTTTGGTTCACTGTAATTTAGCTGTAGTTGAATTACAATTTAGTGAATGCTTCAATTACATTGTTTGGTTGGAGGGAATTGCAATTCCACAGAATTGCAATTCCCTCATTTTGTTGAATTGCAATTCATGGGGTACCCCCATGAATTGCAATTCAATGAATTTGAGATAGGAAAAATATATGAAATGACATTACTACCCTTGGTTCTTATTACTATTATTATTACACAGGGGTATTTTAGTCTTTATACCACTTATTTCCTTCCCAATTCCAATAATTCTATTTCTCCCTACCAAACAACATAATTTAAATTCTTACTTTATTCACACCTTATTCTTTTTCCACCGAATTACAATTCCTTTCCCCCCTAATTCCTTACTTCCAATCAAACACCCTGTAAAAGTTGGAAGTAAGAAATGGGAGTACATGTAGTATTTTTCTAAAAAAAAATATCTAAGTCTGGTGGATGTGATAATGAACGAACTGATGACATCACTGTTTGCGTCTGATTGTCACGTCATTAGTCCCTTCGTAAGCAGAGCCGACGTCAGTAATCCCTGCACAACATGGCCAAATCGGCTGCCGTCGTCTTCTTTTTACCAGATTTCTGTTTGGACGCAATAGCAACAAGTTGGTGAGATTTATTGTTAGATTTTAAAAAAAAAATTGAATAAAAAATAATATTACAAAGAGAACTAAATTGTGGGCGACCACGGTTTGAAGTGATCGGATCCGAATCGAATCCGACATGGTAGAAATTGAATCAGATTAAAATTGAGAACTGAAATCATCCGTTTTGGTTTAAAACTGATTGTTCCAGTTCTGAATTGATTTTTTTTTTTAAGAAAAGCTTTGTTTTTTGTGAAAAGAAAAATATTTCAATCGGCGGTTCAAATAGGAACGAGAACTAGAACCTTCTTAAAAAGTTCCGTTTCTGGTTTATCATTTTTTGAAACTGTGAAACGATGATTTAAAACCGGAACCAAACTATAGTACGTCATGTCTGTCGACCACTCTATGTCTCTACGCGCTTGTTGGGTACCTTGTGTGTCTCTCACTTGCATTTGTTGAAAAAAAAAAAAAAAAAAAAAAAAAAAGCTTGCAATTCTATCATATGTTTTGTGATAAAACAAAATTACAGAAGAAAATAAGCGAACAAAAATTGGATCATATGAAATCTTCAGGCGTGTGCTAACTTTCCTATAAATCTTTAATTAGTCTTTACAAACAACAGGACACGCGATTAAAACTTATGAGATAAAAAGGGCATTTAGAAATCTCAGGTTGTTCTGCCAAGCTAGAATTTTCCTTTTAAGTTGTGTAACTGAGAATTCTATCTAAAGATGTATTGTTAAGTGTTTATTGCAGATAACATAAGAAAGTATGACACTGATGAAATTAATATTGTATCTCTAGACTTTTATCAGTGTAAAATATTTCATCTCAAACATCTCTCAAAGTAATTGTCTGACTTTTCTAAGATCAATTTCTGATTACTGAGACACATTGAAATTACTCCAAGAATTGTGTGTGTGTGTGTTGCATGCATATATAACCGAAGAGTTAAATAACCTTCTTAGTCAACTGTGCATGTATGATCGAGAAATTATTTAACTCTTAGGTCATGCTGACTGAAGTTTTGGCGATTAAGGAAGTCCTGTCATGGATCAAGAATCGACCGGAGAATAGGTTTTTTTGTGGAAATGGACTGTCTTCATTTTTGTTCTAGTTTTAATTTTGTTAGACAAGACTTTTCTCACGTTGGTCTGGTTATTAAGCAGTATCGTTTTATTGATTTTGACATTGGAAACATCTTGATTCGTCATGTCAAAAGATCATCGAATCATGTGGCTATGTATTAGCACGGGCAACAAGTTCTAATTCAGCTCTTGGAGTGTGTGAGTCTATTCTACCTATTTGTATTCTGCGTTTGTTTTAATATATGGTTCATCCTTTGGTTTTCAAAAGAAAAAAGAAAAAAGAAAAAAGAAAAGAAAAGAAAAGAAAAGAAAAGTACGACGGAACAGTTAATATAACTCTTCGGTCGCACATTGCAAATTTCAATTTGCAAATGTTATGTACACAAACATCATGCAGTGCAAACTTCATCTTTTATTACATGTACACATTAACCATATATATGCATTCCATACATAAAGTATATGCATTCCATACCTACATGCTATGAGAATAATAGTTCTCGGAATAATCTTACTATTGATTAATTCATGATGGTATAAAATACATCATGAAGAGATATATTTATAACGATACAAAGTGTCCAATCCCAATCAGAATAAAATGATAAATAGTAATAATATTCCTAATAATATAGGGAGAGGGATCAGAGAATGAGTTTTAGTAGTGTGCATAGAATACAGAGTCCTAATACGCCCCCTCAAGTTTAAAGTTCTCTAGAGATACGCCCCCTCAAGTTTGCACCTCGAGTTGTGTTATCCTTTGTTGTTTATGGTTTTGTGTCTTGTTGAGGTTGGTGATCCTCGGTTTTTGTTGAGAGTGTGATGAGTCTTTGATGTTGACCTCCTTCTCGCTTTCAATTGACTATATACTGTATTCCTCAGTCTCAAATGGTTTTTATTATATCTATCTATATACTATGTTATTTAACGCGTATTGATGGGTTACCAGTATTATTCGCTGACCGGGTGTTATCCCCATGTTTTACAGGTTTTTCTTAGTCCGGAGTGCGCGCTAGATGAGGACTCTAGTTAGTGTAGCTCCTGTGGTTAGATGTTTTGCTTTTGTCGACCTGTGTGCCTAGACTAATGTTACATTTTGATGATTGTGATAGATTTAGCATGTGCACCCATAGTCTATGGGTGTGGCATAACACCTTTCCCGGTTTATAATAGCTTCCGCTTTGTGTTGATTGATGTTTAGTTTGCTTATCCTTGAATTCTAAGTTTTAAAATGTTGGTAAAAATCGGGGGTGTTACAGAAAGAGTTCTCCTTTTCCAACCTGCTAGTCTATTCGAAAAAAAAAAAAAACCTGCTAGTCTGCTCTCCATCATACGAATGACATCATTGAAAGTGTCCTTCTTAACTCGACCATGAAAAGAGGGAACCCTAGGTATTTTCCTAGGTCCTCTGTCATTGGAAAGTCTAAACTATCTGAGATGGATTGCTGCAAATCCAGGGGAGTGTTCTTTGAAAACATTAAGGAAGATTTGAGGGGGTTCACTTTCTGGCCAGATTCCCTGCAAAAAAAATCAAGACATTGTTTAGTGATTAGTGCTTGTTGAATTGAAGCCTCACCAAATAGTAGCATGTCATTTGCGAATAGCAGGTAAGTGATATGGGGACCATTTGATGTGATTCGGACACCCTTCCAAGAATGAGTTTCAACCATATTCCCTATTAAGTAGCTGAGGCGCTCGATGCATAACACGAAGATTAGAGGGGAGATTGGATCTCCTTGTCTTATGCCCCTGCTAGGATGAAACCAGTTAGAACGGTTTCCA